CCCCCCCCCCGAGCCCCCGGGGGGAGGGTATTTTTGGCCGGAAGCCAGCCGAGCCGCCGAGAGCTGGCCTCGGCCGCCACCTAGCAGCGACCCGGCCGCAGCGGGGACAGGGCGACAGCTCCTCCAGCCCGCTGGCCCCCGCTGCAGCCGGGGACAGGCGGGGGGGGACATGGGGGTCTCCTCGGAACACCCCACCCCACCTCTCACCTCCCTGAAGCCAAAGGGGACCTCTGCAGCAGAGAGGGGGGCGCGGGAGACAACGCTCCATCGCCCAGACAGCTCCGAGGGCGCTCGGCTCCGCGTCAGCCGCTCCCGACGCTAGATGATGAACACGTACGATGCAAGCCCCCGGCCCGAACACGGGACCGGAGAAGTCCGGCAACCTCCAAACCTCCCCGCGGGGTTGTACAGCCTCTGCTCAAGCCATAGCTCCTTATCGCTCTGCTTCCATCTCCTTCGTTAGCTTTCGGCATGGTCGTTTCCTAATGAGCCCCCAGATTTTCTCTCTCTCTCGCTCTCTCTCCATTTTTTAGCCCTTTCACATCCAAAACCGCCCCTAAATGCTGAAACTAAAACATAGACAATAGTCATAGAATGGCTTGGGTTGGAAGAAAGCTTTAAAGATCAGCTAGTCCAACCGATAAACTTATGCTTGGCTTTTATCCATTCCAATATTAATGTTAAACCCTACCCTGAGATCTTCTTGGTGGTTTGCAGTGAAGCGTACCTCTGGCACGTTTGCCGGTGGGCCCGGAGCGGCCCTCAAAGCCCCTGAAGGCCTGAGGAACAATCTAGGCACCAGCCAGCCAGCTGAACGCCAGCATTCATAACCAGGGCGCTTCTATTCTCACAGCTTTTCTCTGCATTAACAAAACTCAAACCCAAGAGGATTTCTTGCCACTGGCAGGGAGCTACATAAACATGGCCGACGCCAAGCTTCAAGCTTTCTCTCACTGGATTCTTTATAGATGTCATTCAATATCTGTAACATGGGATTCCGGACGCTTCGTATGTGCGGCACCCTAATTCTTCAACAACTCAGAGCATCTTTTTCTTGGGGAAGGAGGTTTCTTTTTGCAAGTTACCAGCACTTAATGCGGACTGAGGCCTGAGCTGGGACAGAATCGTCTCTCCTAACAGCAAGGAGTGTGTAGAGCATCCATGGCGTTAAAAAACAAACCCATCTACCCACACAATGTCAAAACTGCTCATGCACTGAGGGAGGGAGGGATAGGTAGCCAGTTTCCCTCTCCTGAACTTGAAGGATATGTAACACAATGTGACACTTAAATGTTCTCTCGAACCATTACATTAAAGAGCAATAAATCAACACCAGTACAACAAAACCAAACTATTTTCCTGAAAGTACAAGTAACATTTATCACATGTACTGGGCACATCTGAGAAGATGTCAAGGGATTAAACGTTTCTGAACAAAGAAAATGACAGCACGGTCATACAGAGGGCATTTGCTGCTCTAGGCAGCCTTCCTCAGCAGCCGCTCCAGCTTCCCCCCTCTTCTCACACCTTCTTCCTCAGGCTGGGGAGCCACTGGAAGTAGTCACTGGAAGTAGCTAAGCGTACAGCTGCCAACACTGCAGACAGTGTGGTAGGAGGGACATACAGCTTCTGAGAGGGCCCTTGGTCAGACAGCCCACTGGCACTGCACAGGCCAACTGCAAGACTCCCGGGAAGGTCTTTGTTCTTCATTTTCTCTTCATCTGCATTCAGAGGGGACACAGAAAAGAAAGATGGTATCTACATTGGCAACTCTAAGAGCTCCAGTTTAGATTGAAATCCCTTTTGCCTGGACCTTACCAGGTCACGGCAAGACGACTTTCTACCGTACACCTCTTTGATGAGCCCAGCCTGAGAGCCTCTCTCCCTCTCCTCCCAGTGCTCATCCCCCCCTCTCCCCAGAGGTGGGAAATCAGGTGTGAATTGAGTAGCTCCTGTCTGGAGAACTGGGCCTCCACTCCAGACAGACAGCAGACAGCTCTGTTCCAAGGCACAAACAGGCACTGTCTTTGGCAAGTCAATCTACCTCATAAATTGGGCAACTCTCACATAGGTGTTGTAAATTCCTTCATCACTTGGAAGACAGAAGACGAACACCCACACAGGGAACTTACAAGATTAAAAAAAAAAAAAAAGCTTTTATCCCTTATGGCTGGGAGATGGAGAGACTCTCAGTACAAAATGAACACAGGCTAACGTACGGAGTGGAGAAACAAAGACTTTTGCATGAAAGCAGCAGAAAGTCTTGAAAAGACAACAAAAATCAACAGAGAAAGAAATAACCCTCAATTCATTTGTTCCCATTAAACATTTAGAAAACGATTTTGCTGCACAAAGGTCAAACCGATGCATTGCGTCCAGCCATTCGTTATTGCCACATCTCCATCCCACAGAAATACCAACATTTTCATCTGTTCTAGCAAAGAAGCAGCACCAGTCCTAGGTCTCATAGCACAGTAACAGACCGCTCAGCTTTCCGCCGTGTTAAATTTTACTGACAAATCTATTCGTACTGTTATGGTTGTCCAGCATAAACGGTATTGCCATAAGTAGAACAGAGGGATGTACAGCTTCACGAAGTTGGGCCTTGTTGGAAAATCTTTCTATCTGATCAGGGTCATCTTGGCTCATTTCTGCTCGTTGCTTGGAGTAGATAAAGGAGGTGTAAAAGTCTTCCACTGACTTGAATAAGACAGCAGGCATTGAGGACTCTCCAAGAGAATGAGGTGTCTGCAAATGTATATAAAAAACTCAGGAGAGGGTGTGATTAGCGCACACTCAGTTCATTAGCTGCCCTGATCTTTATTATGTCTCAAAGTCCACAAAGAACTGGAATGTCAGCAACTGGATGATTTAGAAAAAACAACCAACAAAACAAAACAACTAGTTACTCACAGCCTTGGCCAAAGGGCAGCTTTTCCTGCACAGCAAGCTGAAAAGAGTGACAGATTATTACAAGATACAAATCACCATGTCTTAGCAAAGAATTAACAGCTGGCTCATCTCTCAGTCCCACACAGAACAAATGATAGCCACGACAGAGGGAGTTTCTGCAAGGGAGTGGGAATTGAGTCAGAGAGGAAGTCCCTCTGCATTTTTGCTTAAGAATACAAATTAAACTTAAGTTCCAGGGATGATCACCCATGTCTCAGCCACAGACAGGGACCAGAGCCAATGTCTGTATTTGTTAATTCAGCATGGAGGAGAAAAATAGTGGAACAGCAATTCACCTTGCCCAACCATAGCTGTTCAAAAATTAGGTGCTGGCTCTCTATGCTTCTTCTGTTGTCAAGGCAGCAGAAGAAAGGCATCCATCTTCAGAAGGGGTGAATCACCATCCACAGGTGCTTTGCCCATTGGTGAGAGTGTGTTCAGAGGATTAGCCCAGAACAAAAAATTGTATTTACACAAGCAGACTCAAGCAATTTAAATTGGCCCCCACAAAGGGACCATCATGAGGTGCTCCTGAAGCAGCAAGGAGAGCTACATGGCTGGGCAGCAGAAATTCAGTGCTGACAGGATGCCAGGACAGGACAATTTGAATGACAGGCATCACTGGAGTCCAATTAACCAGCTACTCAGCTTGATACCACCAGCCTACTGAAAACCTCTGCCTAACATGCAGTAAAAAAAAATAGAGTGTTTGGACAACAAAAGAAGAGGGTTAAAAGATGATTATTATCTCCTCTTGCCACCCATGCTATCCTTGTTGGGCAACGGGCAGTGTCACTGCTGCCACTCCAGGGCAAAGCAGAAACAGACAGGGTGCAAGGGTGGACACTAGAAATGTCTGTTAGCACTGGAGAAAGTTGGGATGGAAATAATTCAAAAAGGGGCAGTTCAGTTTACAGAAGAGGCAAACAAGACGAGATATCCTAGACAGTGCTGTGAGGGGCAGGAAGTAAGGCAGTATCTACTCTTCCTCTTGATTCACACAATTAAGAACACCACCACTGAAAAGGCAAACAGGAGCACTGAAAACTGGAAAGGAAGGAATACCAGTTGGTGATGCTGTGAGTGCCACAAAACCCCAAGGCCAAGAGATGAGCAGGAATCAGAGGAAGGAAAACTTCCTGTCTGTCCTCATAACTAGCTGACTGATGCCTTTTTTTCCCCCCTAATGTCTATAGGCAGGATTATTTTTTTATCCCACAGTCTTCCTTAATAGAAATTCTGGTCACTTCTTCTAAAGACTGTAAAACAGAGATCACAGCCAGAGACAGAAAATGTGCCCAGGACTTCTCTGATCCAGTTAGAAAATTCCTATGCTTTGAAACTCACATAGTTTAATACTTGCAGGGGAGCATTTGAGCCAGCTCACAAGGACCCTATCGCTATCTGCTCACCTGCCTCCATCTCATCTCATCATACTTTCTCCCCACACTTGCTACCAGAAACTTTCCTCTTCCCTCACTCCCTCAAGATCCTTTTTCCCAGCTTGCTTTCTCTCCATCCCTTTCGGGTAACATCCTCCAAAGCCACCAATTCTTTCAGCTTTCCCCCTTGTCCTTCTACAAAGTGCTTTGTCTCAGCCACCATGAACCTCCAGATGTGTAAGGAGCTGTGGTTGTCCTACAACGTTTTCACTGTAGGCACACTCCCGTTTCCAGCTCTGCAATGCGTTCTGTGGCTCAACAAATCCTGAGTGATACTGGCTCCCCCCTGAACCCAGAGCGGAGCATTTGCAAAATGCCATGCTGCAGGCCCTGTTAGACTCATCCTTAGTCACTATTTAAGAACCAAACTCACAACACCAGTGCCACATAATGCCTCAAATCACAGCCCAAAACGCAACCCTTCCAAGCCCACCCTCCTAACTCAGGAATAGAGGCCTGCGTGATCCAGAGTAGCCCCACAATAACTCCTGGTTACTCCCAGTACCCTCAGGACTGTGAATGGAGAGGAAGTAGAAGAGTGAAGAAGGGCCAGGTTTGATCTACAAAGTGCTGAAACGGTCAGTCTTGTTTCTACAATACCTTGACATGCCAGTGGAGCACGAGCGTATCATCAATAACACCAGAAACAACAGCAAAGAGGAAAACGTATAGCTCTGAGCCCAGGCTAATAGCCAGTCATTATTTCTTTGTCAGTCACTTTTAAAAAAATACACGTCAAAGCAATCAAAGGGTTATTCAAATAATCTAAAAACGAGAACAACCCCTCCTAACAGCAATAGCTGAGAAAAACACTCTTACCTGAACCACTGCCATAAGCTCTGTAAGAGTTTCATTTGTATCTTCCTGTGCAAGTCCAGGGTCTTGGTCTGTTGTTCTTGGGACACTCACTTCATCCAAAAGTGGCCACACATCATCCTGCATCTCCTTCTGAGCAGACAGGTGCCATTGCTAAGGAGGTGGACAAAGCAAGAAAAGGTACAGCTAGTGTGGATAGAAGAAAGCAGGATGCACTGGAGCAAATTATAGAACAATCAGATGATACCCCTTGGAGATTAACTGAGGGAGAAATGCAAAGGAGCTTTTCTGTTCTGCCCAGAAGTTTTAACATTTCTATCTGGAGAAGTCTGGGCTACTTGGAAAGGACAGAAAGAACATGGAAGGACAGGAAAGAATGTGAACAAGAAACTAACTGTCACTTTAACTTCTCTCCTCTACGGTAAAACTTATCACTTGGAAAGTACAGTTTCATTCAAGCAGTGTTTTCTGGTTATTGCTTGCTGCCTTCTGAGAAATTTAACCATGGAGAAGTGTCCTAACAGAGCAGAGCCAATGAAACACAGTGTCCAGCCATTTTGGACTTAAGGGCGGGGCGGGGGGGCTGTTGTTAATCCTGACAAGGCAAATCTAAGATTGGAAAACCCAAAGGGAGTTCCCCACTGCTTAAGAGGAGTTACCAGAAAATGCTGGCTGAGCAGTAACAAGTGTCATATTAGACACATTTCATTCCAGTTCCAAACATTTTGAGTAATTTTGTAATTGACATTGATGATCGTGTTAGTGATGCACCAAGGAAGAAAAGGAATTATTTTGGGCAACTAAACAGAACAGCAGAGAAGAAAATGTTTCAAGTCTTACACAAAGAGAGATCTAGAGGACTGCAATTTCTGGAAAAGGATTCTAAGATCCTTGAAATCAGACAGGAGAAAACCTGAATGCGTTTACATTCCTCTCATCTCCAAATTGCCAGCTATGTCTGACGTTTACATACATGGATCTTGCTACAGTTAACCAGATTTTTCCATAAAAATCACAATAAACTAGATTTGCAGAGTCTCAGTCACATTAATTTCTTCCAAATACATAAAGATGCTGGTTTGGGACCTTCAGTTCAGACAATGTATCGACAGTGGAAGGCCATTAACATCCAAGATGTACAGCTTATATAGAGTTTCTCTAGCCCAGAAACGCAGCTGGCTAAAACAAAACCTAGGTAAAATGACTGCTTTATAAGTTACTAACATTACACTAGCTTTTACTCTTACTTCAGAGAAATGTCAGAAAAACAGCCCCGGAGCAGGCCCACTGCTGAACACTTCAACAGCTGACATTTACTTGAAAGGTGCTTTGGCCCCTGTAATAAAATGTGTCATGAAAATACTACAATTCAAATAACACAGAAGAGTAGAGAGAGTCACCTGTAGACAAGTGTCCCTGGTGTTTCTAAGGGTACTACATTAGATTGCACTCAAGACCTGGGTTTTACTGCCTGCTTAACCCCTCTGTTCATCAGTTTCTCCATCTGTTAAATAGCAACGGTCTCCTCTTTTTAACATGCTCTGAAATCAAAGGTGTAAAGCAGTATCCAGATCTGGATATCATTTACCTCCAGAGTTATCTTTTTAATAAAACTCTAATTGTGTACAACCTTACCCCCTGCAACAATCAAGATTGCAAATTGCTTCCTTTCGGGTAAGTTTAGAACGAGCAAGACCCTTAGTGCAAATAATACACCACTAGTTCTTCTGGTCTTTTCCCGCGTTTAAATGATACCCCGAGTTATTACATGTCCTTTGCCAAACCCCAGAGATGCGAGAGGAAAACACACCACTTCTTGGCTCCTGGGGGTGCGAAACATGAAAATGTTAAGTTAACCTGATCTCAAGAACCTGGTACTGGTCCAAGTTCTCAACAGAGTCCATTCTCTCTCTGAGAAATTATGTTGCGTATGGGAGGTTAGAGAAATCACTGAGCACACAGACTCCCTGAAGTCTGCAAAGGGATCAGAGGACAAGCAGCTAGAGATGTATTTGTGGTCCATGTGTAGTTGTTATTATATTATGGTTCTGCTTGCTTTTTATAAAAGCAAAAAAACCAACTCCACCAAAAACCGCATGAGACTAAAACAATACATGTCTATTGATCCCTGGAGCTGATTTCATTGAATGATAGCTACACCACAGTCAAAGTCCCACCTGGTCACACAGTTCATCCCCGTCCAGCTTTGCGCTTGCTGTTTTACTATCTGCATCTAGAGATTCC